AAAATGAGCTGCTAAAAGTATAAACAACTGTGTTAAATCATTTTCATTTATTCAGAAGACACAGCGCTGCGCACCGTACTCTCTTTTGTATGTCATTTGCAATTTTTGGTCAACAGCTGTGCAGCCCACTGAGGTACTGTCTTAACTGATTATCAGTATGTGTGAGCTCCTCTAGAACAGCAGAGGTTGAAACTGTAGACCTGTGACTGGAACATGGGCCAACGCAATGACTACCTCAGCAATGACCTTCAGGAATTTTTGCTGCCAATCAACCTTAACCTCTGAATCCCCAAAGAGTTTCCTTGAAGCTTGTGCTCAAAATAACATGCCCAAATGCATTATACAGTATATATACACCTTTTAAAAATATAAGGCTAAAAAAAACTCCTGGAAACCATTAATCCAAATGTAGAGAAGTAGAAAGTCAGACTGTTGAAACTGGCTTGAGCTTGATCACAACRTCATGGTAGGTTTCAGTCGGGTTGAGGTCTAGATTTGAGMTGACAGGAATAAAAACTCACTCTAGGCAGAGAGTGGACACTCCCAGGGAGATCCCCGCAGCAAACTTGGTGAAGAAGACGTAGAAGGAGTAGAAGATGGCTTCGTGGCCTTTAGAGAAGGGGTTGACCAGTCTAAAGTCGTCGACCACATCTGGCAACATAGACCTGGATAGCACACACACACACACACACATGAACATAAAGTTGAACAGTGCTGACTTTTTCAACCGTGCGTCCTTTCCCTTAAGTACCCAACCTCACTGTGAGTTGCGGTAAAACCTTAAGCCGATGTGTGTCTTAGACCTCCCTAATGCGCTTATTTTAATTTCCTCTAAAAGTCAGTAAAGATGCCAGCAGATGATTACTACTCCAGGAGCTCTGATACACTGCTGGGCTAAATTACAGAGCTAATAACACGATTAGATGAAGAGCAGCGGGCGCTAACCACTGTCCCTCGCCCACAAATAGAAAAAGAAAAAACAACCATCCGCTCCTAAAGTAAACATGCCCCCCCCCACGGGAGGCTGTAATTTGAGGGAGGGGTGGCGGCCATAAAAGCAAACAGATGTAAAGATACCTCCGGAGCCCTGTGACGGCGTGATAGATTTATGGCAGGTGACTCCGAGGACTCGTTCTGGTGACGTCACATTCATGACCAGAACATGAACCGGGACACCAAGTCACCAGAAACAAACAAAAAATGAACACGCTAGTAGCTGAGAGTCATTTGAAACACATTTACAGAATATTAATTTTAAGATTTGACAAAAAATGGCTAGGATTCATCATCAYCTCTCAACATAAGAGGATTTCACCGTAGTTTAAACAAGTATGAAAGGTATCAGCTGAAAATCTACCTTTTCATTTCTCACATGTACTGTATTGGTCTAGACTTTACTTCAGCAGCTGACAGACATTTCATTAAAATCCTTTTATTATCAGCTGAGAAAACTGGCTTCAGGCAGAAAGAAGTACCAGGGATTAACAATACTGTACACCAAAATATRTGTAATGGAGAGACTTATAATGTCTTTGGAACTGCAAAAGGGACAAGTTTATTGATTTCTGGAATAAGTTCTATGAGGTGCCAAGTGTAAAAGAAATTTTTTTAAAAAAGTCACATTTTTGTAGACATTTTTATTATGTTGCTCAAGTTAAATGYAAATGTTGCAGCTAAATGTTAAAGTTTACATTTAAGAATTTCAGAAGGGAACACAGCCTTTGCTTTTGTTGTTATAAAACTCTGTGTGTCTACCCTCACCCTCACACACACACACACACACACACACACACACAC